TGTTCACACATATTTGTTAAGTTATAACACGGATCAAGAGAGACACAGTATATACCCCAAATAATTGAAATCAGGTACTCAAATACAAATATATATTTGTAGCAGCACTACTTGGAATAGCCAAAAAGTGGAAGGAGCTCTACTGCTCATCAATAGATAAAGGGACAGGGCTGGGCATGGTAGCTCATACCTTTATCCTAGCACTCGGGGAGACCAAGACAGGAGGATCACTTGAGCTAAGGAGTTTGAGACCAGCCTGGGCAACATAGTAAGATACCCTCTTTTTTTTTGTTTGTTTGTTTGAGATGGAATCTCACTCTGTCACCCAGGCTGGAGTGTAGTGGCACGATTTGGGCTCATGGCAACCTCCGCCTCCCGGGTTCAAGCAATTCTCCTGTTTCAGCCTCCTTAGTAGCTGGTACTATAGGCACATGCCACCACACCTGGCTAATTTTTGTATTTTTAGTAGAGACGGGGTTTCACGATATTGGTCAGGCTGGTCTTGAACTCCTGACCTCAGGTGATCTGCCTGCCTTGGCCTCCTAAAGTGATGGGATTACAGGCATGAGTCACTTTTTATTTATTTATTTACAAATAAGACATATAAAATATATAAGACATATATAAAATAAGACATATATATTTAAGACAGCAGGCCAGGCGTGGTGGCTCATGCCTGTAATGCAAGCACCTTGGGAGGCCAAGGTGGGTGGATCACCTGAGGTCTGGAGTTTGAGACCAGCCTGACCAATATGGTGAAACCCCATCTTTTCTAAAAATACAAAATTAGCCAAGTGTGGTGGTGTGTGTCTATAGTCCCAGCTACTCGGGAGGCTGAGACAGGAGAATTTCTTGAACCCAGGAAGTGAAGGTTGCAGTGAGCCCAGATTGTTCCACTGCACTGCAGCTTGGGTGACAGGGTGAGACTCCATCTCAAAAAAAAAGACAGCATCTCACTATATTGCCCAGGCTAGTCTCAAACTCCTTAGCTCAAGTGATCCTCCTGCCTTGGCCTCCCAGAGTGCTAGGGCAGATCACCTGAGGTTCGGAGTTCAAAACCAACCTGACCAACATGGAGAAACCCCATCTCTACTAAAAATACATAATTAGCTAGTCATGTTGACACATGCCTGTAATCCCAGCTACTCGGGAAGCTGAGGCAGGAGAATCACTCGAACCTGGGAGGCGGAGGTTGCAGTGAGCCCAGATTGTGCCACTGCATTCCAGCCTGGGTGACAGAGTGAGACTCCATCTCAAAACAAATAAATAATAATAATTTTAGTGGCCGGGCGCGGTGGCTCAAGCCTGTAATCCCAGCACTTTGGGAGGCCAAGGCGGGTGGATCACGAGGTCAAGAGATCGAGACCATCCTGGTCAACATGGTGAAACCCCGTCTTTACTAAAAATACAAAAAAGTAGCTGGGCATAGTGGCGCGTGCCTGTAATCCCAGCTACTCAAGAGGCTGAGGCAGGAGAATTGCCTGAACCCAGGAGGCGGAGGTTGCCGTGAGCCGAGATCGCGCCATTGCACTCCAGCCTGGGTAACAAGAGCGAAACTCCGCCTCAAAAAAATATATATAATAATAATTTTTAAAAGATAAATGAGGGCTGGGCGCGGTGGCTCACGCCTGTAATCCCAGCACTTTGGGAGGCCGAGGCGGGAGGATCACGAGGTCAAGAGGTCGAGACCATCCTCGCCACAATGAAACCCCATCTCTACTAAAAATACAAAAATTAGCCAGGTGTGGTGGCATGCGCCTGTAATCCCAGCTACTCGGGAGGCTGAGGCGGAAGAATCGCTTGAACCCAGGAGGCGGAGGTTGCAGTGAGCCAAGATTGTGCCACTGCACTCCAGCCTGGTGACAGAGCAAGGCTCAATCTCAAAAAAAAAAAAAAAAAAAAAATACATTGTGTTATATACATGCAATGGAATATTATTCAGCCATAAGAAAAAATGAAGTACTGATACATGCTACAAAATGGATGAACCTGAGAAACATTACAGTATGTGAAAGAAGCCATGCCTAACACCCATCTATTATGATTCTATTTATATGAAGTATCCAGAATAGGTAAATCTGGAGACAGAACCCAGATTGGTGAGTGCCAGAGGTTGGGAAGAGGAAGGAATGAAGAGCAACTGCTTTATGAGGATGAAGAAGTTTTTTGTTTTTTTTTTTTTGGAGAGTTTCGCTCTTGTTGCCCAGGCTGGAGTGCAATGGTGTGATCTCAGCTCACTGCACCTCCACTTCTCAGGTTCAAGCCATTCTCCTGCCTCAGCCTCCCAAGTAGCTGGGATTATGGGCATGCACCACCTTGCCCAGCTAATTTTGTATTTTTAGTAGAGACAGGGTTTCTCCACATTGGTCAGGCTGGTCTCAAACTTCTGATCTCAGGTGATCTGCTCGCCTTGGCCTCCCAAAGTGCTGGATTGCAGGCATGAGCCACCATGCCCAGCCGAGGATGGAGTTTTCTTCTGGGGTCATGAAAGTGTTTTGGAACTAGAGATGGTGGTTGTACAACATTGTGAATGTAATATATACCACTGAATTGTGCAATTTCAGGTAGTTAATTTTGTTATATAAATCTCACCTCAATTTTAAAAAGTAGCCAGATGTGGTGCATGCCTACTCAGCTACTCAGGAAGTATCACTTGAGCCCAAGAGTTTGAGACCAGCCTGGGCAACCTAGCAAAAACCTAAAAAAAAAAAAAAATCTTAAAATAAAAAGATAAATTGAGAGAGAAAAAGATCCTGCCTTTGTAGAGTTTATATTTTAGTGGGTGAGCCACATCAGACAGTAAATCAGCACACACCTAAGTAAGTAATGACATACTGTGATAATCACTTGATGGGAAGTAAGGGTATGAGAGAACAGAGAGGCTTTGAGGTGGGAAGGGGCTTGGCAGTTTGGAAAACTGAAAGGAGACCATCTGAGCTGATGCTTAGAGAGCCAAAGGCAGTGATTTAAAATGAACTCGAGGTAAGCAGGGGCCAGGTCCTGCAGAGACTTAAATGTCACAGGAGGGAGTATGACATTCAATCTAAGAGCAATGGGGAGCTGGGGAGGGTTTTAAACAAGGAATTAACAGGAACTGAGTTATATTTAACTGTTAGAGCAGCTTTATTGAGACTGTCTCACTCCGTCACCCAGGCTGGAGTACAGTGGTGCGATCTCTGTTCGTTGTAATCTCTGCCTCTCAGATTCAAGTGATTCTTGTGCCTCAGCCTCCAATGTAGCTGGAATTACACGCCTAGCGCATTTTTGCACTTTTAGTAGAGACAGGGTTACATACACATTAGAGACAGGATATAAGGATGTACAGATGAGAAGTAATTTTCAAAAAAGCACTGGAGAACTATACTATAAAAAGGATCTGGGGTGCTATGATGCAAGGAAGGAAGCATTACTTGGTTGGTGCTGAAAAAAAAAAAACAATTATAGTAAAAAAAAAAAAAAAAAAAATTGATCCGAGCTTCTTGACAGGGTGGTCCAAGAAGCAATAGCACAGCTGGCAGCCTGTTAGAAATGCAGAGTCCTGGGCCCTGCCCCAGACCTCAAGAATCATAATCTGCATGTTTAGTAAGAGTCTCAGGTGATTTTATGTGCTCATTAAAGTTTAAGCAGCACTGGTCCGTACACGGCAAGGAGACCCAGACCATCAGAAGGTAGGCTCCCTGGCACAGCTGAAGCATTTTTGAATACTTTGATACAGGACAGTGTATCTGAAAAGACTGCATTTTTGAAAATTAAGTGCTGTAAATACTGGAGAAAGACCTCTTTTTTAAAAAACTGCAGGGAGATTCCTCATAAGCCAAATTTCTTTTGACTAGAAGCATTTTCTGGGGAATAAAGTACCGGCTTCTTTAAAGTGAGGCAGAGCCACGTTAAAAATGTGCGATAAGAACTCAGTCTTGGCTAAGTCGACCGTTCACCAGCTGGGTCAAGTCTGGAGTCGCCTAAGTCCCTTGGCAGTTCTGAGCCACCAGGATGAGCTTTTACAGGAAGTCGAGTTGGCTGCTGTTCTGCCCCAGAGAGCAGCTGAGTTTTTTTTTTTTTTTTTTTGAGACAGAATTTTGCTCTCGTCGACCAGGCTGGAGTGTGCAATGGCATGATCTCCGCTCACCGCAACCTCCACCTCCCGGATTCAAGCGATTCTCCTGCTTCAGCCTCCCAAGTACCTGGGATTACAGGTGCTCGCCACCACGCCCGGCTAATTTTGTATTTTATTTATTTATTTATTTATTTATTTTTAGAGACGGAGTTTTCGCTCTTGTTACCCAGGCTGGAGTGCAATGGCACGATCTCGGCTCACCGCAACCTCCGCCTCCTGGGTTCAGGCAATTCTCCTGCCTCAGCCTCCTGAGTAGCTGGGATTATAGGCACGCGCCACCATGCTAATTTTTTGTATTTCTAGTAGAGACAGGGTTTCACCATGTTGACCAGGATGGTCTAGATCTCTTGACCTCGTGATCCACCCGCCTCAGCCTCCCAAAGTGCTGGGATTACAGGCTTGAGCCACCGCGCCCGGCTAATTTTGTATTTTTAGTAGACAAGGTTTCTCCATGTTGGTCAGGCTGGTCTCGAACTTGTGACCTCAGGTTATCCGCCCGCCTCCGCCTCCCAAAGTGCTGGGATTACAAGCGTGAGCCAGCGCTCCCGGCTCTCAGTTGAGTCTTTAACGCGGAAGATGCAGAAAGGAGACTTGACAAAACTACTTTCGGGGAGCATGGCCGGGGGATTCGGTGAGGGTGCTACACCGGGAGAGAGTAGTAGCAACTGCTCATTCACTGTGAAGCCCGTAAGTGACCTTAGACCTCTAACCCCGCGACTCACTCGGCGCTTCCTTGCGCAGCTTCCGTTCCCGCCTCTCCGGCGAAGGGCTGGCCAAGGGGTGTGGGCGGGGCTCTGAGGTCGGCGGTTAGGGGCGGTGCCCGCTGGGGGCGGGTCTCGCGAGGGGCGGGATTCGAGGAGGCATTCGAGCATTGGGCACCAGTTAGGGGCGGGGACTAGGGCTGGGCTGGGTTGGGCGGGGCAGGGAGTTCGTAGCCGCCTCTGGGTAACTCGACTCGGGCTGCCAAACCTCCAGAGGCCGGGGACGGCAGGCGGGCCCGCAGCGGATCCTGGAACCGGAATCTCCCGGGCAGGAGCGGAATCTGTCCCGAACCGGGTCTGTGAGGAACTCGCAAACTTGGATTAGGAAATCCTGGAGCCCGGATCGACAAACCCCGGCACCCGGAATTAAGATCGCCAAGTCCCGGATCGCGGAGCACACAGCGCGGAGCGGACTCGACGCGGGGCCCGGATTCCGGATCGCGGCACCGCGGGACGGGACGGAGCGATGTCGGGCCGAGGCGCGGGCGGGTTCCCGCTGCCCCCGCTGAGCCCTGGCGGCGGCGCGGTGGCCGCGGCCCTAGGAGCGCCGCCTCCTTCCGCGGGACCCGGCATGCTGTCCGGACCGGTGCTTCGGGGACCAGGGCCGGCTGGAGGCGTGGGGGGCCCCGGGGCCGCCGCCTTCCGCCCCATGGGCCCCGCGGGTCCCGCGGGCCCCGCGGCGCAGTACCAGGTGAGCAGAGAGGACGCGAGCGGACGGGGGCGTGCGGCGCCGCAAGGGCGCCTGGGCCGGGGGCTGAGTGGGGCTCGAGCGAGGGCCCTGGGGAGTGCCTGAGGAACGGTGGAGGGCGGGCCGGGACCCTCGGGGTGCGGCGAGTGGCGGTGGAGGAGTGGGGAAAAGGAAGCGGGTTCGGTAGCCGAGGGCTGGAAGCACCTGGAAGGCCTGGGGGCTTCCTCGCACAGGGATTCCGGGTGTCTGGGACATGGAGGAGTTTGGGGAGCCAGTGAACTGTGGGCAGGTGGGGTGGGAAGTCTAGGATAGGAGGGCTGCGAAGTGATGAGAAAGTTTGGGAAAGGGCCCTCGCTGAGAAACCGTGGTTACCCTGCATCGGCCTTGGTCCCACTCCAGGTCTGCCCTGTTTTTTCTGGTTAGGAACTGGCCGAGCCGAGCTCTAGCGTGTCTGAGATGGCTCCCGGCTGCTAATGAAGAGGAAGGAGCCTGGCGTCCCACGGGCACGGGACGCGGAGGCTAGGGCCAGGGGGCTCCAGCTTGGGCACCGGCAGACTTTACTCCCGAGGCAGGGCCGGCGCCTTCGCTGGCGAGGACTCCAGCTTAGACCAGAGACGGTGGTGGCCAGGCCTGAAGGGAGGCCCAGCCCAGTCACAGGCCGCCTCTCTTCTGGCCTTTGTGCCTGCTGTCATAGTGTCCGGGAGTTGATTAGTCTGGACATGCAGAGTGGAGCCCTGCTGGTGTGGGGCGGGAGGAGTCCGCGAGAGTTGCTTCAAAGAGTGCCGTCCTGAGCCCTTTGGGGTTTGAGAGCTGCTTAGGTTGCAGCTTCAAAAGCCCTTGCAGGCAGCGGCTTCTGCTCAGTGTGTGAGGACCTCAGCCTGACCCTGCCGATCCCCAAGTCTGCTGTTCAGGTTGCCCCAGAGGCTTAGAAACTGCCCATCTGCCTTCCCACCGGCTCTGCGCTTCTATTTGGCATTCAGGTTCTAACTCGGCCACATTCCAAGCTATGTGCCCCAGCATTTGACGCTGGCGTTTTCCTCATCTCCCCGGATCTGTCGTGAGGCTTCTTCTGTTTTCGAATCAGGCCTCCAGGTGGAGGTCCTTAGGGATCCTCGTGGAATATACACAGCTCACCTGCCCCCTGCGCCTCACTTCTAAGGAAATGCTTAGGGACACTGACTGGAGTTTTTCCCTCCTTACTCATTCTTCCTTCTTAAGAGAAAACAAAGAGTCTGGGTATGGGCAGAGACAGACCTGGTCCCAGAGACTCCAGCTGGGGCCAGTCTTTCCTACCTTGCTCTCCCCCTGGGGATTCATGGGCTCAGGGTGTTGCTGAGGGCTCCATGCATCAGTCATTGGCGCCCTCAGACCTGCTCTCTGAGACCTGGCCTGGGCACCACCTGTGGGCCTTCGGCCTTGGAGGGACCTGGAACAGACAAACCGCTCCAGTTTCCTTGGCATGTAAGCCATAGGAAATGTGCCCTTCGGAAAGCCCCTGAGAGGATGGATTCCACAGTGTTTGGTGGGGGGTGGCCTTGGGCCTGTGGCAAGGCCAAGCTGGCTGGCTGGTTAGGCCTAAGCTGCTAGCTGGGGGGAAGTTGGAGATGGCTCTGAATCTGGGTTTCCCATCCCACCAGCTTTCCTCTTCCTCCTGGCAGGAGAGGTAGATGGGAAGGAGAATCAGCCAGCTAACTTTGGCTGAGTTTGAAGAGGATCCTGCTTGCCCTCTTTCCAAGTCCAGTTGTATGACTTCCAGGAGAAGGGACTTAGATCTGGGGAACAAAGGGATTCCTATCTGTTAGGGCTCATGAATGTGCTGGAAACTCGAGGATTTGAGACCCAAGCTGAGCAAATAGGGGAGCCTGTGGAAAGAAGGGAAGCGATGACCTCCCTCCCTCCAGAGGGTGGCTCTAGCTGTGGATCACAGTTAACAGGAGCCTAAAAAAGAAAAAAACCCTCCAGGCCTGGATGTGGTGGCTCACACCTGTAATCCCAGCACTTTGGAGGTGGGGGGGCAGACAGAAGGATTGCTTGAGACCAGGTGTTCAAGACCAGCCTAGGCAACATAGACCGTCGCCTCTTAAAAAAAATTTAGGCCGGGCGCGGTGGCTCAAGCCTGTAATCCCAGCACTTTGGGAGGCCGAGGCGGGTGGATCACGAGGTCAAGAGATTGAGACCAGCCTGGTCAACATGGTGAAACCCCGTCTCTACTAAAAAATACAAAAAATTAGCTGGGCATGGTGGCGTGTGCCTGTAATCCCAGCTACTCAGGAGGCTGAGGCAGGAGAATTGCCTGAACCCAGGAGGCGGAGGTTGCGGTGAGCCGAGATCGTGCCATTGCACTCCAGCCTGGGTTAACAAGAGCGAAACTCCGTCTCAAAAAAAAAAAAAAAAAAAAAAATTTAGCCAAGTGTGGTGGTGTGCACTTATGGTCCCAGGTACTCAGGATGCTGTGACAAGAGGATTGCTTTAGTCCAAGAGTTCAAGGCTGCATAGAGCTGTGATCCTGCCACTGCACTCCAGCCTGGGCAACAAAATAACAAAAACCACAGATTGTTGGGTTCACTCCAGAGAGTTCAAAAAATTTAAGATCCTTTTTACTCATGGGAGGGTGGTAGTAGTTCTCCAACCAAGGCCCTCAGGCCATCTCCAGGAGCATCAGGGCCACATTTGGGGCAGGGCAAAGCATACTCACCTGAGCCCTGGATGCCTCACCTGGCGGCCACAGCATCACACCCAGCCTCCTGCCCTGCTGCCCTGGGTGGTGGTGGTAGAGTTAAGCTTAGAATATGGGCTGGTGCCAGGCCAAGGGAGAGGAGGGCGTTGTATGCTTCTGGGGTTCAGGGGATTGAGCCAGGGCTACCTGGTCCTACTGCAGGCAGGGAGTTTGGGAGGCTCAGAGTTCTGGACTTTTTTTTTTTTTTTTTTTTTTTTTGAAGCGGGAGGAGTTGCTGGTGCCTCAAAGTCCAGGTATGGAGCTTGGCAAAGCTCGGCTGGGACTTGAACTGTAAGCTGGGACTTGAACTGTAAGCAGCCTTCCCCCGGGGCCCTGAGTGAGCTGGGGGCTCTGGGCTCGGGAAGTCTGTGGCAGATGTCTGGGTGGAGCCTATTTCAGGCCCCGCCTGTGTGGCCTTGTCTTGGGACTTCCTGTTCCCCCAGTACCTGGCCAGGAGGGATGGGTGGTGCTGCAGGTTTTGTGAAAGCCCCAGCAGGGAGCTTCTTGGGGGGTCACAGGGCTGTCGCTAACACTCTGCAGGACCCACTGCTTTGATTTTCCCTGTCTTTGTCTCGGGCACTAGGAAAATCTCAAGTCTGGGATGGCTGCACCCTGAGCTTACAACTGTAGCCACACTTCCTTTCTTTCTGTAATATCAGGCCAGAGAAAGAACCACCCTTAAGGCAGAAAAAGAGGCTGTCTTGCCTTTCAACAGCTCTGATTAATCTCCTCCTGATGGAGAGAGACTTTGGCAGGGCTCCCAAAGCCCCAGAGTCCCCCACTTTGAGCTTTTTATTCTCCCAAACACTTCCTCCCACCGTGCTCCTCTACCCATCCTCATGTCTTGTTTCTTTCCATCTCCACATCTGGTCAAGAATCTGACCCTCTGTATTGGGAACATGGGTTTGGTGTGAGATGAAGAGGTTGGGGAAAAAATCTCATCTCCTTGTTGCTGGGGTGGGGGAGGGTCCTTTGATTTGGTACAAGTCTCCACCCTCCTGGGCTTGGTTGGCTGGTTGTGCTCGTTGCATAATCTGGGCCCTGGGGCCAGCCCTGTGAAGCTGCCAGGGACAGTGTGTGCGAGGCAGAGCTGCCAAACAGGCCTTGCAGGCAGCAGCCATGGGAGGGAGGGGCGGAGGTGACTCCCAGATGGGTTCCACAGAAATGTCGGCGAGCAAGGCCTCAGGTGGGAAATGCTTCTGCATCTAAAGGAACTGTTTGTTTCCCACTTTCCTGCTGCTCAGCCTGGGCCTCTGATCCTTGTCTCCCAGTATCATCTTAGCCCCCTTTTCTAGCTTGGGATTGCCAGGGCTGCACGGAGCCAGAGCCAGTCCTGGCTGTCAGGTGATGCCTGGACCATGGGCAGAGTCCAGGTGCCAGCCACTCTCTTTCCCACAGGCCACCCAGGAGCCATAGCTTCCCTTCTGGGGTCTTCTGGCATAGGGGTGGTAGTAGGGCAGTAGGGAGGTGAAAGGAGGGTCCAGTTCTGGGCTGTGGATAGGGGCTTCATGGTGACCAGACTATCCCTGTACCCTGCCTGAGGCCACCCGCACCACCTGGTACACATTCCAAGCCATCCTGTTGCAGCCCTGCTCACCTGGGGTGCTGCTGCCTACCCGACCCCTTTCTGCCTCGGCCACAGAGGATAGGGATTGGGGCTCTGCCCGTCGGCCTGTTCATACCATAGTACACCTACCCCTCTGCCTGGCAGTGACACTGCCCCCGTGCCTCCCAGCTGTGCTTCTCCCTCATGATGGGGGAAAGAGGTACGCAGGGCTTGGTGAGACCATCTGAGGAAATAGGGACAGGCTTGTCCTAGGGAATAGGGCACAGCATGCTGGGGCTGGAAGGTGGCAATGGGCCCTGAAAAGCTCCCCTAGGCCCTTCCCTCTGCAGGCAGGACCCTCCTCCCAGCCCGGGTTCTGGCAGGCCTCATTCGCTGGCACAGCTGCCAGGCAGTTACAGGGGGCGGGGCAGGTGTGGTTTACACTCTGTGCTCAGGCGCCCGCTCCTCTTTGTTCCTGGTACTCCAGCAGGGCTCTGACTTGCTGCTCCAGCAGGCCCAACCTGGGTGACGAGAGGGATGGAGGGCATGGGCTATGGGTCCCAGAGGGCCCTGCCCCTGACCTATGCACACCCGTTGGCTCACTTCCCCCAGCGACCTGGCATGTCACCAGGGAACCGGATGCCCATGGCTGGGTTGCAGGTGGGACCCCCTGCTGGCTCCCCATTTGGTGCAGCAGCTCCACTTCGACCTGGCATGCCACCTACCATGATGGATCCATTCCGAAAACGTCTGCTTGTGCCCCAGGTGCAGCCCCCCATGCCTGCCCAGCGCCGGGGGTAAGAGCAGCCTGCTTCTCCCACTCTAAGTAACTCAGCTATGGTGGTAGCAGAGGGTTTGCTTCTATCTTAAGAGCTTTGGTGACTGAGGAACTCCTGGCTTCCCTGGGGTAGAGGGTCCTGGAGACTGGAGGGATGTTGGGGGGCAAGTGTCCTTTTTTGGACCATTGACCTCTTAAGTGGGTTTCTGTCCTCCCCAGGTTAAAGAGGAGGAAGATGGCAGATAAGGTTCTACCTCAGCGAGTAAGTGTTGAGAGGCCTGGAGGCCTGCCCAGTGGCCGCCTGGGGGTGGGCATCCATCTCCCTCAACCCTGGGCTGCAGGAGGAAGGGAGGAAAGAGCCAGGCTTCGGCTGAAGCGAGCTAATAAGCTCCTGCTACCTTCCTCCAGATCCGGGAGCTTGTCCCAGAGTCTCAGGCCTACATGGATCTCTTGGCTTTTGAGCGGAAGCTGGACCAGACCATTGCTCGCAAACGAATGGAGATCCAGGAGGCCATTAAAAAGCCTCTGACGGTATGTGTGGCCCTGACCGCCTCCAGCCTTCCCAGGTTTCCTTGCCCTCCACCCCCTTGTTTTCCGGGGGCCAAGTGAGTCAGGCAAGAGCTGGGTTTTTCACATGTAGGATGCAGCCTGTTAGTAAAGCACAAACTCAGTTGAATATGTTGGGACCAGTATGTTTCAAATGAATGTATGACAGTAGAAAATCTAAAAATACTTGACAATAGTACTAACCATAGTAGTAAAGGTATTCTTTCATGAAATTTTTGTTTCAGATAAATATACAGACCTTGGGTCATAATTGAAAATGTAAATCTTATAGGTCATAATCAAAAGTTTGAAAACTACTAGTATTTTTTTTTTTTTGGAGACAGTCTCATTCTGTTGCCCAGCCTGGAGTGCAGTGGCGCGATCTCGGCTCACTGCAACCTCTGCCTCCCAGGTTCAAGTGATTCTCCTGCCCGAGTAGCTGGTACTATAGGCGCATGCCACCACACCCGGCTAATTTTTGTATTTTTAGTAGAGACAGGGTTTCACTATATTGGCCAGGCTGGTCTCAAACTCCTGACCTTATGATCTGCCCACCTTGGCCTCCCAAAGTGCTAGGATTACGGTGTGAGCCACCACGCCCAGCCCTCCTTTTTTCTTTTGAGACAGAGTCTCACTCTTTTGCCCAGGTTAGAGTGCAGTGGTACGATCTCAACTCACTGCAACCTCCGCTGCCTGGGTTCAAGCAGTTCTTCCTGCCTCAGCCTCCCAAGTAGCTGGGATTACAGACATCTGTCACCACACCTGGTTGATTTTTGTATTTTTAGTATCACCATGTTAGCCAGGCTGCTCTTGAACTCCTGACCTCAGGTGATCTGCCCACCTTGGCTTCCCAAAGTGCTGGGATTACAGGCGTGAGCCACCATACCCAACCGAGAGGCTTTTCTAATAATAATCTAGAACAGTCCCCTGAGTGGTGAATGAATGCTTTCCAGAAGACTAGGATATTTTGGGGCCATGACAGGTGTTTGGGTTTCATGTAAGATGTGAGCCAGAGGCCGCCGATTTGCCCGGTCACTGTGTATGTGTTCCTCTGTCACACCATAGCACCAGTCCGACTGTGCTGGCATTGTTGGTGATGCATCTCTTTCCCCGTAAAATGGTGAGTTCGGCTGGATGCAGTGACTCATGCCTGTTATCTTGGCACTTTAGGAGGCCGAAGAGGGCTGATCACCTGAGGTCAGGAGTTCGAGACCAGCCTAGCCAATGTGGTGAAACACTGTCTTTACTAAAAACATAAATTAGCTGGGCGTGGTGGCACATACCTGTAGTCCCACTACTTGGGAAGCTGAGGCAGGAGAATAGCTTAAACCTGGGAGGCGGAAGTTGCAAGTGAGCTGAGATCATGACACCGCCTGGGTGATACTGAGACCATGTCTTTTAAAAAAAAAGAAAAAAAAAGACTGGGACTTATTACTTCTGATTCCTAGTGACTGACAAGGCTGGCTCCTGGTGATCAGTATTGATTGTTGAATGGTTCACATGAGAAGATGGGGTAGTAGTATGCCCCAGTGTCTTGGTCTACCTCCAGTTGATTGCCTTTCTCTCTTTAGCAAAAGCGAAAGCTTCGGATCTACATTTCCAACACATTCAGTCCCAGCAAGACAGAAGGCGACAGTGCAGGAACTGCAGGAACCCCTGGGGGAACCCCAACAGGGGACAAGGTGGCTTCCTGGGAACTCCGAGTGGAAGGAAAACTGCTGGATGATGTAAGTTGTGGAGGGAGGTGTCTGGAGGAGGGGAGGCCTGTGTGGGTTTAGGACTGGGACCAAGGAGTTTGAGACTAGTTTGAGCAGCAGAGCCAGACCCCGTCTCTACAAAAAATTTAAAAATTAGTTGGGTGTGGTGGCACATGCCTGTAGTCCCAGCTACTCGTAAGTCTGACGCAGGAGGATGGCTTAAGCCCAGGAGATTGAGCTTCAGTGAGTTATGATCACGCCACTGCACTTCAGGCTGGACAGTGAGATGGTGTCTCAGAAAAGACTGGGCCAGACGCTTGGGCCCTTCCAGAGAAATCCTGCCAAAGGGAGGGGGCGCTGCTCCAAGCCTATTAGAGGTTGATTTGTGTGATTATTACAATGCTCCTGCAGATGGCAGTCTAGTGTCTTGAGGAAGTCTCTCGTGGGCTGCAAGAGGGCGCCATTTCCCTGCCTCCAGTCTGCCCAGAGTCCTGATTTCTTCCTTTAGGGCCCAGGAATCCTCAGTACCCTGAGCTGCAGGGCTGAAATGGGGCTCCTGGTTTTTATAGCTTGAGATTTGAGAGCTCAGCAGCACCTTCTCACACCCCTTTCCATCCCCAGCCTAGCAAACAGAAGAGGAAGTTTTCTTCATTCTTTAAGAGCCTGGTCATTGAGCTGGACAAGGAGCTGTATGGGCCTGACAATCACCTGGTGGAGGTAAGAGTGGGCCTGGGGCACTGAGGCAGGCTGACATACCAATTTGGCAGGGAAATGGCCTCAGGCCCCTTGGAAGGCCCTGTGTTCACACCCACCCCCTTGGTGGTAAGCCATACTTCTCTCCCTGCCAGTGGCACCGGATGCCTACCACCCAGGAGACAGATGGCTTCCAGGTAAAACGGCCTGGAGACCTCAATGTCAAGTGCACCCTCCTGCTCATGCTGGATCATCAGGTGACAGAGGCCCTGGGGTCATTTCTGGGACCACAGGGACCCCTCAGGAGGGGAGTTCGTTGCTATAAACCCTTTCTGTCCCTGCCCGATTTTCCTGCTTTTACAAGAACCCATCCTGACTCCCCTCCATCCAATTCCAGCCTCCCCAGTACAAATTGGACCCCCGATTGGCGAGGCTGCTGGGAGTGCACACGCAGACAAGGGCTGCCATCATGCAGGCCCTGTGGCTTTACATCAAGCATAACCAGCTGCAGGACGGGCACGAGCGGGAGTACATCAACTGCAACCGCTATTTCCGCCAGGTTAGCCAGATGCCAGCCCCTTTGCTGTCTCAGCCCTTGCCTTGCCTGCTGGGCTACTCCTTGGCCACAGCCTGCAGACTGCTGCCCTCACTGGTCCTGGAATGGTCCACTCCGCTGAGCCCACAAGGCAACGCTGAGCCTTTGGTATTCCTCCAGATCTTCAGTTGTGGCCGACTCCGTTTCTCTGAGATTCCCATGAAGCTGGCGGGGTTGCTGCAGCACCCGGACCCCATTGTCATCAACCATGTCATTAGGTAAATGCAAGGAGGCGGACAGGAAGTCTCTGCTAAGAGCAGATTCACCCTTGGTTTGAACTAAAGCCAAAGAGAATAGCAGGTTTCCTGCTCACTGATAGTGTGTGCGCGGAGAATGGGCCCCAGGTTTGGCCCAGGTGGGCAGGATGAAGACAGCTATGTGCCTTCCCTCCCCATGTGCTGCCTGCAGTGTGGACCCTAATGACCAGAAGAAGACAGCCTGTTATGACATTGACGTGGAGGTGGACGACCCGCTGAAGGCCCAGATGAGCAATTTTCTGGCCTCTACCACCAATCAGCAGGAGATCGCCTCCCTTGATGTCAAGGTGGGCACTCTGCCTCCGCAGCTTCCTCTGGGGCCCAGGGTGGGGGTAGGCTGGCAACTCTGGCTCAGTCCTTTGTGTTTAAGCTTTGGGGGCACAGTCTGACACATGTACCCCTCCCCAGATCCATGAGACCATTGAGTCCATCAACCAGCTGAAGACCCAGAGGGATTTCATGCTCAGCTTTAGCACAGACCCCCAGGACTTCATCCAGGAATGGCTTCGTTCCCAGCGCCGAGACCTCAAGGTGCAGTCCTCTTTCCCGAGGGGGACTCCTGTGTAATGCTCTGGGTGATTTTTACCCACAGCAGTTCCAGGGGTGGATTGGCTCAGGGGTAGGGACTGATTATGCTATGGCTTTCCTCCTGGCTCTTTGCAGATCATCACTGATGTGATTGGAAATCCTGAGGAGGAGAGACGAGCTGCTTTCTACCACCAGCCCTGGGCCCAGGAAGCAGTAGGCAGGCACATCTTTGCCAAGGTGAGGCTTTGCCCTGTTTTCTCTCCTGTGGTTGTGAGTAGCAAAGGCCTGAGCCACTTGGTCTCTCCCTTCTCCAGGTGCAGCAGCGAAGGCAGGAACTGGAACAGGTGCTAGGAATTCGCCTGACCTAACTGCTCAGGGATCTCTTCCTTTCTTCCCAGCCCTGGAGGGAGACCACCCTCTGGGTCCTTGCTGGGGCCTCAGACATGTAGATTGGGGTGAGGAGTGTCTGCTGTCACCCTCTACTCCGCAGCTTTAGTTTTATAAATGTAGTGATAGGATTCCTTGTTGCTTGGTCCCCAAAGCCTTATTCTTTTTGCATTGGCTTTAATTGGGTTCAGCAGATGCCTCCTCTGCCCCCTGCAGGCAGGCCCAAGTAGGACTGCTGGAGGCTGTGCTTTGTAACAATTTTGGAACCAAAGGCTGCTGGGTTTGCATGTTTACAGACAACTCCCTGAGGTGAGGGTCAGAGCTGGCTCTGGGGAGCTGGGCCAGGAAGAGGAGGTGCAGCCCAGACTCTTCCTAGCCTTTCTAAACCAAAGTTCTTTGCCATTCCTACAAGCCCGGCCTTGCTGCTGGTTTTTTCCTTTCCTTTGGGTATTTGCACTATTTTGGGAGCAAGTTTTCTATGTGGGAGCCACTTTTTTTGTACAGGGGAAAGTTGGGGGTTTTCAGGGAGCCCTGTTTGGTGCCTCCTTGTTTTCTTTCCTCAATCTATGCAAGCGGCTCTGGCCGCCATCATCTCCTGGGATGCTAGAGGGCTGCCTCTCCAGTGGTGTGGGCCGTGGAGAGGATACTCCAGTTCTCTAGCATGGCCTGAGGTATGGGTGTGTGCATGGGGAGGCTGGGAGGATTGGTGTTACCCCTTGGAGCTTGGTGAGGAGGATGGGCCTAGGGGCTTGGTGAGTGCCACTTCTGGCAGGTTTGGAAATTTCCAAATAAATCCTTTTGTCTATTGGTGGTACCTGGTCCTTGAACAGCGCAGCCCTCATGAACAGACTGGAGTCCTAGAGGACTGGGCCTACAGAGCTTTATTGGAGGATCCACACAAAGGCTGTTCCCTCACTTCCATAATTTCTTGATGGACATGTTTTTCTCACTGTCTTTCTGCATGACCTAGGAGTAGAGAGAGAATGAACCTTAAAGTTATGAACACACGCACACACTAGCCCACTGCTCCAGAGCCACCACAGTCACAAAGATGGAGGCCTGTACCTTGGCTACTGCCATCTCGAAGTCCTCCTGAGTAACATGGACTCGCCGTTCCCGCAGGGCATACATGCCAGCTTCTGTGCACACACCCTGAACGGGAAAAGGAAGTTGAGGCCCCACTGTTGTGCCCCTCATCTGTGGCCCTTAAGCCCAGAGCTTCCTGCCTCTGCCCTGTTTTCGGTGGGTACTTCAATTACCTTCACTTCAGCTCCTGATGCTCCCGGCATGAGCTCAGCAATTTTTCTCAGATTGATCCCCCGAGTCAGGTTCATTTTCCGAGAATGAATCTTCAGAATGTCCAGCCGAGCCTGGAGACAGGTGAGTTTAAGGCCTGAGCCCCACAGCCCAGCCCCATAACCAGAGACACTTTGTGCAGTGCCCATTACAAACCTCTTCATTGGGGGGTGGAAATTCAATTTTTCTGTCAATGCGCCCTGGGCGAAGCAGCGCAGAGTCCAGGATGTCAATCCTATTAGTAGCCATGATAACCTGAGCAGAGAAAGCAGGTAGGGTCAGCTAAGCTCTTCCTCAGCCTGCATGGCACCAGGCCTTCCCTGGGCCTGTACCAAGGCTGCTACCACCTTACCTTGATGTTTTTGGTGGCCTCAAAGCCATCCAGCTGGTTGAGCAACTCCAGCATTGTGCGCTGCACTTCACTGTCCCCTCCAGAACCCCCCTCCAGCCGTGAGGAGCCGATGGAGTCGATTTCATCCATGAAGATGATAGATGGAGCATGTTCCCGTGCCATGACAAACAGCTCCCTCACCATTCTTGCACCTGTGTGGAGGCCAAGATGGTGTTAGGGAGCTTATTACCTCCCTAACCCCCTAACCTCTTGCTTCTCATGTTCCTAGGCATGGTTACCTTCCCCAATGAATTTCTGTACCAATTCAGAGCCAGAGACACGAATAAAGGTACAGTCTGTATGATGAGCCACAGCCCGGGCCAACAGTGTCTTCCCAGTGCCTGGAGGTCCATAGAGCAGCACTCCCTAGAGGGGAACGGCACAGCAAGAGTCAGGGCAGAAAGCTACCCACCTCATTTCATTCAGTGAACATTACCGAGTGTTGGGTCCCTAGCTACAGGTTAGGGATACCAAAAAAAAAAAAAAAAAAAAAAAAATCAATGTCCATTCTGGAGCTTATATCCAAACCACCACCCTAGGAACACTTCCCCAGCCACTCTTTTCAGGGGAAGGCCAGCCTAAGCCAGGCTGGCTAGGACAGGAGCAGTAAGGTAGTAAGTACAGCTTAGCCCTCCCAGAGAAGCCCTGCTCCTCACCTTGGGCTGAGCAATGCCCAGTGCTTCGAAGAGCTCGGGATGCTTAACAGGCAGCTCGATCACTTCTTTGATCTCCTTGATCTGTTTGTCCAGTCCACCAATCATCTCATAAGTTGAATCTGGCACTTTTTCCACCATCATCAATGATACCAATGGGTCCACCTTATTGGGCAGGATCTTGTGTAGAGTGTAGCTGTCATTTCTTAGAGCCACCCGGCAATTGGGTGTCACCTGGGTGAAGGGGGCAAGTTTCAGAAGTGGTGCAGTAAGAGCTGACCCCACTACCCCCACCCCCTCACCTGCTACACTCACGTCATTGATGTCAATGTTTTTGTCCACGTCTACAACAAATTTGCCCTCAGGATGTACCTAAAGAAACAAGGGCTCATGACCTTCTGACAGCCACCAAATCACTAACCCTACCCAGGAAGACCTATGAGAATCCCACAATTACCTTGACAGAACACAGAACCCTGTCTCCCGAGGCTACACACAAAGGGGTGGGAATGCAGCAGAGACTGGGCTGGTCCCTGGGTCATGCTGCTTTTACCTTGACCAACACTTTCTTCTTATCCATGGCCCGGACTACTTCCCCCACATAGGAGCCCTGCTCCTGCAGCAGCTGTAGCTCCTCGCGCAATAGGCGAACTAGATGGCAAACAGACATGGTGATCACCTAGCTACTCCTTGGGAGCTCCCAGGATCCAATTCTACATGCATGAGCTAAGTACCAAGTTATTAAAGGAAGGCCAAAGGTCAAAATTTGTGTCTGTTTTTTTGAGACCCTTAGCTGGGCACACCACCATGCCCAGCTAGTTTTTGTTTTTTTGGTAGAGGGGGTTTCACCATACTGGCCAGGCTGGTCTTGAACTCCAGACCTTGTAATCCACCCACCTAAGCCTCCCAAAGTGCTGGGATTACAGGCATGAGCCACTGCACCCAGCCTAAATTCTTGTCTTTAAAGAGGTTACAATGGGGCTCAGGAAAGAGAGATGCATGTGAAACTACTAGATGACAATGGAAAAAACAGCACTGCTGTGAAGATAGTGGAGGGAGGTTAGGACAGAGTTCAACTGCCCACATGCAGCTTCACATCTTTCTTCACTCACCTTTAGCATTTAGTTCATTCCTCTGTGCCTGCAGCCTCCGGAGGTTTTGGCTCTTATCATTCACAATCAGCTGTAATGGACAAGAGACAAATTTCATTACTCAAGGGCAGGAGACAGGAGGAGGTATGATCTTGGCCAAGACCTCACAGGTCGGAACAAGCTGAGGGAAGGGCACAGGGCACCTGCATGTTGTTTCAGATTCTCCAGTGTGTTCCTAATGACCCTGTCCTGTCCTCCATGAGCCCCTCTGGAGCCTAGGGCAGGCATCAAAGAAGGCTGCTTGTCCAATACTGGTCCAGGAATAAGAGAATCTAATGGAGAAAAGTTAGAGCTGGCTCATGTAACACTGAATTTCTTACGAGAAGGCAACATCACCTGGTGGAAAGATCGTCAGGTGAACTCGCCTGAGTTCTAGCCCAGCTACTATCAAATCAAAAGCAAGGTAAAACTAAGGCAAGCTATTTTAAAAAATCTACATCTGTTACCAAACGGCATGGGTATAGTATCAGCTGCCCTGCTACTTTTCAGAACTACTGAGGTGAACGAATAAAAATGATAAACTAGGCCGGGCACAGTGGCTCACGCCTACAATCCCAGCACTTTGGGAGGCCGAGGCAGGTGGATCACAAGGTGAAGAGATCGAGACCATCCTGGTCAACATGGTGAAACCCCGTCTCTACTAAAAATACAAAAATTAGCTGGACGTGGTGGTGTGTGCCTGTAGTCCCAGCTACTCAGGAGGCTGAGGCAGGAGAATTGCTTGAACCCAGAAGGCGGAGGTTGCGGTGAGCTGAGATCGTGCCATTGCACTCCAGCCTGGCTAACGAGTGGAACTCCGGCTCAAAAAAAAAAAAAAAAAAAAAAAGATAAACTAAACATAATACCTGCAAATGCACTTGGAATTCAAAATTCTTTCTTGTGGCTTTCCCCCATCCAATTTACATCACTGCTGACCCCTGAACAACGCAGGAGGTTACGGCGAAATTGAAAATCCATGGACTTGTCCCAAGTTAAACTACTAACGCCTACTGTACCACTATAACACCACACTTAACATTAACAGCCTACTGTTTATGTTGTCAGTAAGGCTTACCACTGGAAGCTTTACTGACAACATAAACAGTCAATTGGAGTTAGGGCGAATTTGAAAATCCATGGACTTGTCCAAAGTTAAAATACTCATAGCCCACTGTAACACTGTAATATAACACTGTAACATAGCACTGTAACACTAACAGCCTACTGTTTATGTTGTCCAATACTGGTTCAGGAGTAACAGAATCTAATGGAGAAAAGTTACAGCTGGCTCTTGCAGGAAGGCAACATCACCTAGTGGCAAGATCTTTGGGTGAGAAGCCCAGCTGCTGTCAAATCAAAAGCAAGGTAAAGCTAAGGCAAGCCGTATTTAAAAATCTGGATCTATTACCAAACGGCATGTGGGTATCGCATCAGCTGCCCTGCTTCTTTTCAGGACTACTGAGGTGAACAAATAAAAACAAATGAAAAAGCATTCAAAAATGGTAAACTAAACATCATACCTGCAAGTATTATGCAGTAAGGCTTACTACTGGAAGCCACACCACCTTACTCCTGGAAGCCTTACTGACAACATTAACAGTCGATTAACAACATAAACGGTCCTTTTTCTATGGTTCAGTGCTTTAGGCTAGAGCTCTGGGTTGCCCAGTTTCTTTCATTCAGCCTCCATGGAATAAGCATTGTTCAGACGTCTCAATTGATGCCCTTCCTCACATTCTCACTTCACCCTGACCCAACCTCTTCGTGCTAAGTCTCATCTCCTGAACCTGTGTGTTCCCCTGTCTAAGGAAACACACTCGGGCTTCTTCCAAAAGGGTTGACCTTTGGCTAGAGGTACCTTTTCTGTTAAGATTTGACTCTTGAAGATGTGGAACAAACTGTGAACACTAGGACCCTCAAAGGCGGGCGTCCCCAAACTACGGCCCGTGGGCCGCATGCGGCCCCCTGAGGCCATTTATCCGGCCCCCCGCCGCACTTCAGGAAGGGGCACCTCTTTCACTGGTGGTCAGCGAGAGGAGCACAGTATGTGGCGGCCCTCCAACGGTCTGAGGGACAGTGAACCGGCCCCCTGCGTAAAAAGTCTGGGGACGCCTGCTCAAAGGGGTGGGACTTGAGAACAAGAGATTGCTTACTTCCGACGTATACACCCAGCTAAGAAACAAACAAGAAAGGAGAAGCAGCAGCAGCTTCTTCCACTGCGCTCCCAGAGGAATTAGATTTGTGGAAGTCAGCTGCCATCCCTCCCAATCCCTCTCCTAGATCCCGCTGGAGTCTGTCCTCACCTGGAGTTCTTCAATCTTGGACAGATAATATTGGC